ACCCACCTGGCACTCAGGATGCCCTGGTAGAAGTCGAGCTGGCGCATGAAGCCCGGGTTGGGCAGGACTCCGGGCCGGCAGTGCCGGACGTGCCGCAGCGCCCGCTCCAGGGGCCACCCGAACTCCTTCATGGCGTAGGCCAGCACTGTGGCGGCCGAGCGGCTCAGCCCCATCCGGCAGTGCACCAGTGCCCGGCCTCCTGCCGCCCTGTGGCACCCACTGCTGACACCATGGCACGGGGGGCTCTCGGGGACACTGCGTCCACAGAGCTGCCAGCGTGCCCCACCCACCCCAGAGTCACCAGGGACACCGTGTCCGCAGGGCTCACAGTGTCCCCCAGCTGTCCCAGGATCTCCACCGCTCCCAGCATCCTCCAGCCATCCCAGTGTCCCCAGGGCTCCCCAGGTCCCCAGTCACCCCACTGCTCCCCAGGGTCCCGTGCCCCAGCACTCCCCAGCTCCCAGTGCAGCCCAGCAACTCAGTTATCAAGACCCCTTCCCATGTCCCCCTCTCCCCTGGCCCACCTCCAGGCCCTGCCCCTCTGTGCCCCCGATGTCCCCGGTGGTGTCACCCCCTGTGCCCACTGACCGGACACGGGAGAGGAAGAGGAAGGTGTCGTTCCAGTGGGGCAGGAGCTCGGCCGCCTCCTCGTCGTACACCCGCACGTTCATGTACGTGAACAGCGCCGGGAAGAAGTTGTCGATCTCCCGCGCCACATTCAGGATGTGGGTGACCCTGCAATGACACGAGTGACACCCCAGGGGCACCCTATGATGAGCCCATGCTGCCCCGTGACAGTGCCACCCCACGCTCACCTGTTCTGCTGCAGCTCCTCCAGGTTGGCTGCATTCCACTCGGAGCCCTGCGTGGTGACAGCGGTGAGGGAAGGGGACACTGCCACCCACCCCGCCCACCCTGCCCGCCCCGCTGCCCACCAGGAAGAGGTGCGGGAAGACGCGGGAAGGCCGATCCATCTGCGCCAGCACCAGCAGCATCTCGTTGTCAATGAAATCCTTGTGCTCGGCCAGGCTGTGCCCCGTGCGCCGCTCCAGCTCCTC